AAAAAAAAACTTTAAAAACATTGTTGAGATAAAAGTGTATTCTGAATTTTTGAAGATTGATAACATTCATATAATACATGCCTCTAATATTTTTTCCGTTAATTGCGGAGGATTTATGACGTTATCTAACCATTTCAATTGTTTTAAAATCAATTGCGGGATGGGAGACTCAATAATATCATGATCAGACTCTGAAATGAACGTTGGCAATCTTTCTAACAACTGATCAATTAAGGTTGTTTGAAAAAAATCGATACTCAATAAAATACGAATCAAACTATCGAATGTAGAATCACTACGTGAAATGTTAAAAGAAATGATTATCATAATCTATATTGTGTAATAATATCAAGTATCAAATGTTTTTTAATTTACTATATTGATTTTCCATTCACAGAGAGCGGTTGCAGGCATGCTTTAAGCTTTTCATCGTCTAAAGCCAAATATTCTTGCAGTGCATTAAGAAACGAATCGATTGCTTTGTCGGGATATTGTGGATGACTCTTAATTTTTTGAATAAGATTGAACCGAAATATCGATGGCTCGACCACTGTTTAAATGATAAAAATAAAATGTTTTAGTTTCACCACCTCTGTGCCTAGCAGAATAATGGGCTCGAATGGTGACTGATACCTACCTAATTCGTGTACACCCTCAACATGACCTTCTAACTTTAACCCTGCCTCCGATACAATAGTATGAAATAAAGATTTATTTTTTTTTTGAGCCTGCGTCATAATAACACAAATATAACTCGAAAAAGAGTTTTTTTAAGTCGCGTCTTTTATTTACACTTGAATATTCCTAATTTGGGGTTCCTTAAAGCGGATCCGATCAATCGAATCGACGATCCAGGGTCATGCATGTCAATTGACTCTCATGATTATCGACCAACCAAAACTTACAGCAGAGACCGTTAATGTTACACATATTAAACTGGTGAGGGATTATATCCATCACAATTGAATCCAACATAAATAATTTAATTTGTGATTGATCAC